TGGAAACAAAAACAAACCTGCTTTCATTCTGAATTTGGATTTCAGCCAAATTCATCTGAAGAGTTTATTCCGTAACGAGTCGGGAGTAATTGTGCTGATTATTTCCCAGTAACCCAATACTATGGAAGCTTGTTTCCACCACGGAATAAAAAAATTGAAAAATAATTGTGACTTTTTATCTCGCAATTCTGATGAAGAAAGTCGGAATTGTCTTTATTTTATCTTTTATTCCGTGGTGCGAGTTATAAAGTGAGAATTGCATAATTCTGACTTTTTCGTAATTGTAAGTTTAGCCTATATCTCGCAATTCAGACTTTTTTTATATCTCGCAATTATAACTTTTTCTCACAATTGTGGGTTTATATCTCAAAATTCAAACTTTTTATATCTCGCAATTCTGACTTTTCTCACAATTGTGAGCTTATCTCAAAATTATAACTTTTTTATATCTTGCAATTCTAACTTTGTTCTCGCAATCACATGTTTATATCTCGCAATTCTAGTTTTTTAGAATGTAGAAAGGAAATGGAAGAAGGATAAGTTGCAGATTTCTTATATTATGCTGAGGGAATTCTTTGACTAAAGAGCAAATTATTTTTCTGAAATCATTGTAAAATATTCCCACCAGCCTCGTGTGCTATCTCCATTTTAGAGCCTGCAGTCACGGTTTGTCCTGAGTCTTCGGTTGCAAATTGTGAGAGATTTTAAAAGTTTTTTATTGATAAAATCGATGGTATTCGCTCTGCAATTGCACCAAACGAAGTTAGATCTTGGAGTTGTTGCTGCTCCTTTAGAGTCTTAAAGATGATGTCGCTTTTTGGAAATCACTGAGATCATGGGTGTGTTAAAGGTCACTTCATCAGAAAATGATGTGATCCCAACCAGTCTCTTTATAGAAGTTTATGGTCCATACATTTTATTAATCATAAACAAAAGTCTGGCAGAGGGTTGTGTGCCACCGAGTTTGACACATGCGGTAGTGGAGGCCTTGTTAAAGAAACCTGGCCTAGATCCATTTATACTTTATACATAATTTTCATCCAATTTCTAAACTTCCTTTTATTGCAAAAATCCTAGAAAATGTTGTTTTGTCAGCTCTCTTCTTTTTTACCAGAGCTTAACATAAGGGAAAAACACAAAGTTTCAGTCAGGGTTCAGAACTGGTCATAGTACTGAATCTGCCCTTATTAGGGTATTAAATTATATTTTATTTGAAGTTGACAATGGAAATTGTGTCAGTCTTGTCTTGTTAGACCTGAGTGTGGCCTTAGAGCGTCTTGAGCGGTGTGTTGGGGTAA